ACCCCTCGCTGCAAAAAGAGTTGGGAATAAGTATCTGCCAACTTTCAGTTTGAAGAGAGATTTTCTTTTGTACTTCCTCTAAACCAAATGGAGGGAAATTTTGTATTATAGTTCAAACATCTATTACTGCCCTTCAATAACTTCAATTTATAATACGTGAATTGTGTCTTCCTCATACTTGTTAGTTCTACATGACTCTTCAATGATTTAAGGCTTCAAGTTCAAGAGATAAGGCCACATTTTAAAATTGTTTTAGCCCTGCTATGATTTTCAACATACCAAAATAAAACATAAAAACTAAACAAAACCATAACATTCCAATTTTTGGTGACAAAATCTGCAGAACAAAATCTCTAATTTCAGTAAGTACAAGATGAGCAATGACAGTCCAGTCCACCATGACTTGATTCACACTTCGTCTTCATGAAGTAGCATATTGGGTATTCCCTTAGAAACCGGAAACCGGCGACCAGTCTCGGGGCAAACGAGCGCACCCTCCTCGAGATGAAGCTCCAAAAGGGCATGATGGAACTTGCGCAGAAAATCTTCAGAATCAAGCCTGGAAGGCTCAACCTCCTCAGGGAGCTCGACATAGCCCAAAGTATGAGCGGCACCGACAAGGGCCTTCCACTCAATCTTGGGGAACATGTTCCTAAGGAAATCAGCATTGAAGTCAACCTGCTTCTCCACGACCTTCTCTATTTCAATGCGCAGAGGGAAGCCGTTGGTCACACCCTTGATGTTGGAAGATAGCATGTTGTGGGTTAGCAGCCTCATCTCTCTCTAACTATCTAGCCTAAACAGCAGTGATTTTTCCTTTCACTTTTGCTTGAGGACCTGAGGTCACAAGTAAATAACAACAATTAGACCTAGCAATGTGTCGTGTTTTTGCAATTAGAGTTGAGTTTTTGCTCGTTCGTGCTTTCGAAAAGCGTACGCACTCAGACACAGCATGTAAACACACAAAAACTGGCTAAAAAAATCTTACAAGGAGGCGAAGAAAACAAATAAATAAAACATCTTTGATCAAAGCTTTCTCTCTCATTCAGTACAATAAATTGGTATCAATTGATTAAACACTTCTACAGCTACAGACAGAGCGCAGAAAAAGGGCAAAGCACATAGGACAAGAGAAAAGAGGGAAAACAAGAGAAGAAGCTGAAGCCCTAAAAATCAGACAAAGAAAATTGAACAACTGGAAATATAAGTTCATGCATACCCACCACAAAAACTGAACAATTCGTAAACTTAAATCATGTGCCTCTGATTTTCCAAAAAAGCAAAAAAAGGGAGTAGGGGTAAGCTAACTACCTCTGATTCTCCGAAGTTGGGGACTGAAATCTGGCCGCCGCCGGCAATGTAGAGAGAGATGGAGAAAGGGAGATAGAATACAGAGAGTCGGAGAGGAAGGTGAGGGTCTATGACAGTGAAGGGGAAAAGAATTAGGGTTTTATTTGATTGCAAAAATTACCCGAATACCCTTACTCTTAAATTGCTAATTTGGTAAGCACCGTTCCGTAGGAGTTAAAATGGGTTTTCTTGTTTGTATTTATTTAAAGGGTTATTCGCAGCAATGGTCCCTCAACTATACCTGTAGTTACACTTTGGTCCATCAATTCAATTATTAGTTGCCAGGGTCACTCAACTCTGTGTTTCGTTGCACCAGCAGTCCTTCCATCAAGTCCGTTAGTTTTTTCCGTTTAAAATGATGATGTGGCAAGCATCTGTGAGAATCTCATAGATTCATGAGGGGCAAATCTGACTTTTCAGTTAGCCTTCTTCAGC